GACAGGCTGTGCAGGAGGCAGTGCCTGACTGGTGGAGGCCGCCTCCTGGGAAGCAGCTCCCCCTGAGCCGGACCTCAGCCAGCGGCCGGGGCTTAGCAGGGCCTCAGAAAGAGACCCGGGAAGCGGCAGACCTGCCCGGCGCTCCCGCCGTCCGGGAGAAGGAAGGGCCTGGGCGGCGCTGCCTCCAGCCCTCCCGACAGGAAAGGCTCCCAGAGGTCTGTCCCCACCAGGAAGGAGGAGGAAAGGCAGCACCCATCACCGTCACCACAGTACGTCAGGCTGCTCCGGGCCTGTGTCCCCATTCCGTCCTCTTAAGTGCAGCCCGATGGGCAGCAGCTGGGAGCGGGACGGGCCCAGCTCAGTCAGGAACACCCTCGGAGTCCAGGCCTCTTGCTGCGGGCAGAGCGGACCCCAGCATTTGGGGGGTGGGCAGGGTCCACTTATTACCCGAGGGGGCCCCGGGAGGCCTGGTGGGCCTGTCCTGCCTGTGCTGAGTCTGTCTGTCCCCACCCCACAGACTACCTGGTCAACGTGATGGACGCCCTGGGCCTGCAGCCCTCCCGCACCCTGCAGCACGTCGGGACGCTGCTGAAGACCAAGCCCGCGGACTACCGGCAGGCCAGCAAAGGCCTGCCCCGGCGCCTCGCCGCCACGGTGGCCGCCATGCGGAGCGTGGACTACTGACCCTCGCGGCCGAGGGCGCTGCGGCCCGGGCCAGGCAGCTCTCCAGGGAGGCTTTGCTCTAAGACTGCCCAACGTTGTAAATCAGAGGCTTATTTATTAGAGCGATATTTTCAGATGATTTTTTTTAAATGACCCGATCTGGAAAGTGGAATTAATAAATACAGTGAAACACAAGAACGTTCTTCCCTTTCTCTGCGCGTTGGGGACGTCCGTGAGAGGGAGGGCGGGGTCGGCAGGGGAGCAGCAGAGAAGATACTGTCAGATACTAGGAAGCAGGAGGGCATCGGGCGGAAGGCAGCTGGGTGAGATGGGTGGGCAACCCCGAGACCCAGAGGACAAGACCTGGCGAAGAGCGGGCACAGCGCTGACACGGCCACTGGCGGGGCGTGAAGGGGCCGCAGGCGGCTGGGCGACGGCCTCGGGCCTCTGATGAGGACCGGCTTTTCCTTTTTAAAACGTGCCGACGGTGTGGATTCTGTTTTTTTGCCCGTAGCTTTGTTTCTGTTCCGAGTGTACTTGTCTACAGGTGACAGAATAATGTAATCTGAGTGACTCACACAAATAGGAGTTGATTTTTCTCAGTAACAGGTGTCAGGTGGTGGGCCTCGGGCTGATCCAGTGTGGACGAGCAGGCCCAGCCTCTGACCCGACCCTTCCCTGGTCCTCGCCCTGGCAGGGCAGCTCCTGCAACCAAGAGGGGGTGGGGCAGGAAGCAGAGGCGCTGAGCAAGTCTGTCCCTCTCCTGGGGAGGCAGAGCCCCACCCGCTTCCTCCCAGGCCTCATTGGTCATTTTCTTGGTCACCAGGTACCTTCCCAGTTGCAAAGGAGGCTGGGAAGGCTGGGACAGGACTGGCTGTACCAGGGTTTCCCAGCCCTGGCGTGAGCGACATTGGGCCTGCCCTGTGCACCTTGGGACGCAGAGCAGCATCCCAGCCTCCCCCAGGCCAGGCTGAGGTGCTCCCCTAGTGTGACAGCCAGCGTGCCTGCAGACCTTGCCCCAGGACCTCGCCTCCAGCAGAGAAACCCACTCAGCCCACTCAGGATGTATCGCCTGGGCTGGGCCAGCACAGCCCTGAACAGACTGGGCTTTGTTAGCAGGAGGAGGGGAGGGCCAGTGTCTTGCAGGGTCCCCTGTGGGGACTGGACGGGCGCTGTGCTCTCGGGACGGAACTGTTCCTCCCCTCGGCCTCCCAGCAGCCTCCCTGTTCACACACAGAAACTGAGGTTTGGAGAAGTTCAGGGGGCTCACCTGGAGTCACTCAGCTGCCAGTGGCAGGGCCGGGCTTAGAGCGAGCCTGTGACCGGCACCCCCTGCTCCTGACCACAGGGCGAGGCAGGCAGCACCACCTGGTCCCTCCTGGTCGGACCTGCCCCAGGCCACCAGGATCTGTCTCGTTGGGCCGCCCAGGGGTTCTGGCACATCTGTCGTTTGCCCTGGCACCAGTTTTGCCGGCCCGGAAACAGCGTGCTGTGACGCCGCACCGAGGACAGGACTCTGGTTTCTGCTGTGGGTCCCACGTGGGGCTGGCAAGGCGGAGCCTGGCTCCTGCCCGGAAGGAGGGAGGCCAGAAACCTGGGCGGAGCGGCGCACTGCCCTAAGTGGAGACGTCTGTGCTGGCTCTGCGCCAGTGTCCGCGCCAGTGTCCGCGCCAGTGTCCACGCCAGCGTCTGCGCCAGCGTCCGCGCCAGCGTCCGCGCCAGTGTCCGCCATGAGTGCCGCTGGGCTTCCAGTCCCAGCCTCGCCACCTCCCAGCTGCGACCTGGGGAAGGGCAGCTCTCCGAGCCTCATTCCTAATCTGAGAAGCCGGCCCAGTGGTCCCTGCCTCAGGGCACCCTGAGGTTCGGTGGGGGCAGCGGCCATGGCACAGGCAGCCGAGCTGCCCTGTGGAGTGGAGGGGGAGCCACAGAAGGCATTTCCTGGGCAGTCTGGGCCCTGGCAGCCTAATTTCCAGCCTTGAGAGGCTCTGGCGGGGCCCCGGCGTAGGAACAGGACAGTGCGTGTCCCCATCTGGAGGGAGAGGAGTGCCGTCTGCCGGCCCCGAGCTCCTGGCACCGACTGTTCCAGGCCGGGGCCCTCAGTGCTTCCCGAGAGAAGGGCAGCAGGTGGCCCGCCAGCCGCCGTCTCACGTCTACAGGCACCTCCGGGGCAGGAAGCGGCACCTCCACTCCTGCTTCACGATGTCTGACAGAGCCTGTCGGGGTGGGAAGGGGCTGCCCACTGGGTTCGCCCAAGGCTGGCAGGAGCCTCTCCCTCCCAGGCACAGCGATCAGCTCTGATTGGTTCCGAAGAGCCGCATTCTCAGGGCTTTGGCTGGGACGCTGTGGAGGAGGAGCTCCCACGCAGGTGTGGCCAGTGGCTGAGCATCGACCTATGAGCCAGGAGGTTCTGTTTGATTCCTGGTCAGGGCTCGATGCCCAGGAGGCAGTCGATCAAGGGTTCTCTCTCATCAGTGCTCTTCCTCTCTCTCCCTCTCCCTTCTTCTCTAAAATCAATAAAATAAAATAAAAAAAGGAGCTTCCTGCTCTGGCTGCTGAGCTGAGGGATGGAGTCGGACGGTGGGGAGAGTGGCAGGTGGGGAGAACCTGTGTGAGGGAGACGTCCACACAGAAGGACGTAGAGCCAGCAGCTGGAGAAACCACCAGATCTGGGTGAGCCCCTGGGCTTTCATTACAAGAGCCCATGTGTCCCCTCCCCTTTTCTTTGTTAATCCTCACCCGAGGATATTTGTTCCATTGAGTTTTAGAGAGAGTGGGAGGGAGGGGAGAAAGATAGAGAGAAAAACATCGATGTGAGAAGGGACACATCGATTGGCTGCCTCACGCACGTGCCCCGGCGGGTTGGGGACCAAACCTCCAACCAAGATACGTGCCTTTGACTGGAATCGAACCCGGGAACCTTCAGTCTGTGGGCTGATGCTCCAACCACTGATCCACACCAGCTATGGCCCATGCATTAAATCAGTTCAGATGACCTTGTGGCCAAAGGAGCTAGATACGTGTTGCTCTACGTGCCCCATAGCAACAGATGAGACAATAAGCATGAAAGCCCTCAGGCCTTGCCATGCCCACTGGCAGCAAGAGGATGAGGCTGGGGTCTTCCTTCATCGCTTCCTAGAATAATAGCGACCTTGGGCACCTTGCTTTACCCCTCTGAGTCTCAATTTTTTACCTGGAGGATGAGAATTAAATGAAATAAGACTTATAAAGTAGTTGGCCTGGTGCCTGGCACGTGGTAAGAGCTTGATACAATACAACCACTGCTTGATAGCGAATGATCATAGCGAGTGTGGTGACAGCAACCACCATGCCAATAGTAGAAGTAGTCATAGCAGCAAACATGGCGATTACTAAGAGCTGCGACGCCAGCCTGCAGACGCCGGGCTTCCCCCAGGCCCTCCCTCCGCCAGCCCCGGCAGTGCTGCCCGGCCAGAGAGGCTCCAAGGTGCCCCCTGGGATCCTGAATCGGAGGCCAAGGCCCCAGGTGTTAGGCCAGCAGCTGGGCCGGGCCCTGGGTGCCAGGCTGTAGCCAGCGCTCCTCCCCGCGGCAGCGGTCACGGGCCTGCAGCGCCAGCGTGGCTCCTGCCAGACCCATTCTCCTTCCGTAACAGCTCCCTGACCTCTGCGTGGGGAGCCGCGAAGGTTGCCATATTTAGCAATCAAAACTACAGGATGTGAGCAGTTAAATTCGAATTTCAGGAAAACCAGTGAGTTTTTAGTATAATATATCCCAAATATTATATAGACATATTTCTACTAAAAAAATGAACTCGTGGTGTATCTGACATTCGTATTTCACTTAGCTGCCTGTATTTTATCCGCACCCGTGACTCCCTGGGGCCAGCGGGCCTCAGGTGTGGGCAGGTCCGAGCGATTCAAGCAGCCGCTGCCGCTGGCCGCACCCGTGGCCAAAGGCAGGCATGTGACCAGCAGCGGCCAGTGAGAGGCAGCCTGGAGCGGTGGCCGCTGGGGAGAAGGCGCTCTCCCAGCTGCTGGCGTCCTTGGCGTGGCCTGTGGGCTGCACTGTGAGCACAGCCTCCCGGAAAGCAGAGACAGGGCAGTCTCTGGAGCTGCTGGAGCTGAGCCAGCCGCGTGGTCCCCTCCCCGGTTCTGTCCTTATAACCCACGCGATGACTTGGGTGGTATTAGAGAAGCCCCCAGTCCGCTGCTTCGGGGACAGCTGGAAAGGGACTTCAAAGGCCACCGCTTGGGCCTCTCCTTGGCCAGGCCCTGCTCTCCGGCTGCAGGATGTCCTTCCGCCCCCGAGATGTGTCCGATGCTTCCACTGCCCCCTCCGACGAAGAACATGGCTCCACGCGGTGTTTTCTACTTTTATTTTCTAGAATAAAACACGTGCCACCTGGCAGCCAGCCCCACCCCCGCCTGATGCTCCCCTGCTCTGCACAGCCACTGCCCTCACCGATCCCACCCTGGAGGCCAGCCACCAGGAAGGAAAGGCCGCAGGTTCTGGGGGTGGCCTGGCTTCGGAGCAGACGCCGACTGGCTGGAGGGAAGCGGCCGGCCCCCAGGGAAGGTGTCCTCGGGTCTCTGGAGCCTGGCTTGAGGTTGGGGTGGGCAGAAACCAACCGAGCACACAATTCCCCACGACACCCTCGGCCTGGAGTTGGGACTGCTGGGACTCTCTGCAAGAGACAGACTCGACCAGACACCTGTCGGCCCTTTGGAGAGGGCACGATGGAATGAGGCCTTGGGCCCTGGTCTCGGCTCCTCAGGTCCGAGTTCTTGGGCTGCCCAGGTTGGGCAGAGGCAGGGGCCAGGGGCAGGGGCAGGGGCAGGAGCAAGGCCTAGATGGCATCACCCTCACTGTCAGACTCAATGACATCCAGTGGCTGCAGACGCAGGGAGTCATAGTTGGGGGGCGGGGTGCCCGGGATGGGCAGGGTCTGCTCATCGGGGTAGGCCCCAGGGTTGGTCGTGTCAGGCTGGAAGGCAAAGTTGGTGTG